ACTGCCATGACTTTTCAAATATCATGGAGAGTAGCTTGGCAACTACATCAGCCAATTCCCTCAGGACTCTGGGATGCATCTTGTCAGGTCCCATAGACTTATGTATGTTCAGGTTCCTCAGGTAGTCACAAACCTGATCTTCTCTTACAGCAGGAGGGAACTTTGTTCCCCCAGTCCTCATCTTGCGGTCCATCTACTCGAGAGGTGTGGGAAGAGAGGTTGCCAGTAAAGACTAAGGCAAAAAAGTTGAGTACCTCAGCCTTCTCCTTGTCCGTTGTTACCAGTTTGCCAGTCTTGTTCATCGCGGGGTACACTGCCTTTGACCTTCCTTTTCTGGCTGACATACCTGTAGAAGCCCTTATTCTTTGCATCCCTTGCCAAGTTCAGCTCCAGCCACACCCTGGCCTTCCTGACCGCATCCCTACACAACCAGTCAACATCCCTATACTCTTCCCAGGATGCCTGTCCCTGCTTCCACTGCCTGTGCATTTCCATCTTGCCCTTTAGTTTGACCAGCAGGTCTCGACTCAGCCATGCTGGTCTCTTGCCTCCCTTTCCCAATTTCTTACAACTGGGGATTGAGAGCTCTTGCACTCTGTGGAAAGCATCCTTAAGGATCTGCCAGCTCTGTTCTGCTCCCTTGTCCCTGAGGTCAGTTTCCCAGGGGTTCTATTGACTAACTCCTTCAACATCTGGAATTTTGCTTTCCTAAAATTCAGCATCCTGACTTTACTCTTCACCTGACCCATATCCCTCAGGACTACAAACTCCACCAGTGCCAGTGCATGATCACTGCAGCCCAGGCTGCCTCCAATCTTGAGGCAGATTAGTCTTAGTCACCAATTAGCTCATGACTGAAGCTGAATCAGGTGAGGAGCTTAGTTTGTCTTTATTAATGCCACATGTCTCTTACTGCTGCCTTCTCAGTCTGTTTAATCACCGAGCATACAAACCCAAGAGGGCATAATACCTGCTTAAGCAACAGTGGATCATTACATGTAATATCACTAGTTGTACCACCTGCATGTGAGCTTGAAAAAGGGACCTTGCAGTACAGCATTAGAGAATTCCCTCCCCAGCTGCATTGCCTGAAGCTGTGCTCCCTGACTGTTCTGTAAACAGGTTAGACTTGGAATTTGCAATTACAATGTTTGTTCAGTGATTACCTGGGATGCCTGAGAAGTACCAGCTCTGTTTTCAAGCTCAGAACATTTTGCAGTAACAGTGGATAAATTACATTTTAACTGGTTCATTTCTTCTGATAGAGAACGAAGCAAGTGTTCTCTCCTTTCTGCTTCCTTTGTTTTTTCCTCTAGTTGACTTTGTAACAAGGAGACTTCACTATTCTTGTTTTTGGATCTAAGCTTGTCTTTCAGATTTTGGATTTCTTTGTCCTTCTCTCCAAGAAGATGGTTGTGTTTTTCTTTTTGTTTTTCAAGGGAAAGTATTTTCTAAATGAAACAGAATAAAAGAGTGACAGAAATGAGTGTCAGTCTATGCAACAAATGCATTAGCAAGTTTACAACAGTTTGAGAAGATACTCACTTTGAAAGGTTCTCTCTTAGCCTTTAGTTAGCTGAGAATATTACTTTTTACTCAAAACAGGCAATACTACAGTGATCATCGCAATACTACTGCGATCATCTGAAATATTTCAAGTGATAGTAAAAAAAAGTCTGAAGTAGATGAAACAAGGAAAGAATGCAAAGAACCAAATTTCACAGACTTGGTAGGTACTCAGTTTTGTATATGAATACAGATCACTACAATAGATGAACCTATAAACACAAGCAGTACAAGAACTCTTGAACACTTCCCATGAAGAGGTTGGTGATACATTTTTTAGTGTTGGTTAGCATATTTAGTAGCTTTTGAGAAGCAGCGGAGCCTTCTTGCAAACTAAATGACAAAAAGTGAAGTTACAAAAGAGTTATAATAAGGCATTCAGGAGAATGATCCTGTTTTCCAAATTATCTGGTCTTTTAGTTTAAAAACGTGCTTTAGTAGATATTTTCAGCAGGCACTCTCTTTTCAGTAGGCCTCCAGCACAGGTAATTGTTACATAGCATTAGTACTGCATTTGAGATACCTTGGGGCTCTACATAAACTTCTGTTACAATAGCATTTCATTTTCCATGAGAAAGGTTGATGGTGAAATCCTACATGTTTATATCAAGTCATTAGAAGACGCCAGAGAAACTGAAAGAAATTGAATTTTGGAGAGCCTCATTTAGGGAGTGGTTGAAGACCACACAGTGCTCACTAGAATTAAAATATTAACACCAAATAATACCTAGTACATCTAAACATGCCTGTGATTTTCCACCTGTAAACTAGGAACCCAATATTAAGTAATCAACACTGAGCAAGCTGCAAACTCCACCAGACACAGCAAATACGCTAACGAATTTAGCAACGACAGTACATGAGCTGTCTAGCCATAGGGTTGGCACTTCTCAACTGACGATGTAGCACAGACACGTGAAAAGCCTTACTGTCAAAAGTAGCCTAGAAACATTAGCGTACCTAGTCTCCATTAGCTGTATCCTTTGAAAGAGTGATCTTTATAGTCTTTAGTCCTTCTGGGAAGCCTAACAGTATGTGACTTGGTCACATACTAAGTCTTGAACTTCTTCCTCTGCAACCACAGGTTTACCTTGAATGGACTACAAGGCATGGAAATTGCAGTGTCTTAGTTTCTGCTCTTCGGTTGTAAAGGAAGAATAACGTGGTAAACCGATTACAGTTTTATTTGCCTATAGCTGAGTAGGAGCTTGAGAATATAGTTCAAGCAAATACTCAGCACTTTTTGGCATGTTCTGAGGCAACTGTTTGCAAACACAATGTTCTTTGCAGGAAATGCTCAAAATAATTCTCTGGGACCAACTGATCCAAACAGTTGGACATGTAAGGACAGGTCTTAATGGACTAATTGGCACCTCTGGCCTCAAGTCTTTGTATTTAACAGCCTTGTCAGATGATTGCGATTTGATTAGCTCAGCCATCGTTGAAAACTATTTGAGAACAAAAACGTCAAACTTAACCAGCAGTGACATCAAAGTAAACTAAGTTTTAAGAGGAAAGGCTGGCATCTTGCTTACAAAGTCGGACATACTCAGACTCATGTTAACCATGCACAGTTCGGACATCACACACGTTAGCTCGAGTACGAACATCCACCCCACCTCCAGGAGCCCGTTCCTTTCCGGATCAGCCATTTTGCTTTTCCCTTTCACGAATTCCTCCAGCGATTTTCTCAGGGCTGCGTTCTCCTGCTTATACTTCTCGAGCTCATTCTCGGGTCTGGAGCTACCCGACTTCAAGCCCCACTTGCCAATAATTATATCTTTGGCGGTCTTGGAAGTCATCTTTAAGCACCTATAAAAAATAACGCAGCGTTACGGAAGAGCAATCCCTTCCACCGGGCAGGACATGACTTCTGACACAGGTTTAGTCAAGCGCGGGCAGCGCAGGCCTTCCCGGCGCCTGCTGGCGGCTCTCGGACCGGGCC